CTTCTCAGCCTCTTTCTTGTTCCACAGGTATCAGACTGATAATTTAGTCTGAATGATCCCCTGCCCGCTCCTAACTTTTAATTCTGATTTTACACAGGTCCTTCCCTTATGGTGATATGAAGAGAAACAGAAGACCAGTATGGCATCCTAGGACATGACAATGTCTGGAAATCAAGGAGAGACAACCAGTCAAGAAATGGGAGTGCTGAGAATGTGGCTTAGTGTTCACATAAGCAGAAAAGGCCGGAAGTGGTGCTGTGGCTCATGCGGTAGAGAGCTAGCCTTGAGCTGAAGAGCTGAGGGACAGCGCCCAGGCCCAGATTCAGGCCCCACGACCAGGAAAGGAAAATTCTCGGTGCATCTTCTATCTATACACCCTCTGAGAGGAACCATTCATTCATCATTCGGCTTAATAACCATCAACAATCCATTCACTGTTTTGTTGTTTTGCTGTGGTTCTTGGGCTGGGCCTCCAGAACTGGGTGCTGTCCCTTAGATGTCCCTGCTCCTGGGCCTTTTGGTGGTTAATGGGAGATCAGAGTCTCTCAGCCTGCGCACTGGCATCCTCAGATCTCAGGCTCCCGCCTTGCCAGGATTACAGTCCTGAGCCACGGAAGCACGGCTTTCCATCAAATTTATTGAAGAGTTTTTCAAATAAGTCTTCTGAAGGTTCTAGCAAACTGCTTTAGTGTAACTATACTACCCACTGGCGCGGGTGTCAGTTTAAACGCCAAGCGTTTGGCGCCAAAATACAGGCGGAGACGTATTCGGAGAGACACTTCCTCAAAGTCCCGCCCACTTTCTTCACCACGCCCCCTTTCTCACTTTTCATTGGATCTCGTGGCTCCGCTCCACCGACGGAGGCCAGAGACAGCTTTTGTGTGCTGAGCCGAACCAAAGGGCGCGCTTTTCTCTTCACGCCCGCAGCCACTGAATCCGAGGCCTAGACATGCGCACTGAGCCTGCTCCCTAGGAGCATGCGCAGAGCGGCGAACGAGGCCGGAAGCGGGAGCTTGTGCGGGGAGGTGGGGCTGCCGCGCGGGCTGAGGGGTGGGCGAGCAGGCGACATGTCGCTCTCGGGGCGTCTCGTGGTTCCCCTGGTCGTCTCGGTGCTTTTGTGTTGTGGGGCTCCGCGGGCTGACGGACGGCGGAGCGACGTGCGCGTCATCACGGACGAGAACTGGACGGAGTTGCTGGAAGGCGAGTGGATGATAGAATTGTGAGTGCGGGGTGGCCGCGGTCGGCGCGGGCCGGGCTCCAGGCCGTGGGCCTGCGCACCTGCGCTCGGCCTTGCCCACCTTCCCCTTGCTCAAGCCTCCACCCCCGGACCCCGCTCCTCCTGCGCCCCGGCACCCCAGTCCCCACCTCCGCGGGGTCCCCCCGCTCCCCGTTGGCATCCACCTGCCAAGTCCCCGCTGGAGTGTCGAGGCGCCTCCAAGCCTCGAACTTGCCTCCTTCGTGGCCTTGAGCGTGGGGTGAGATGGTGGGGGTGGGGGTGGGTGGGGGCCGGTTACTCCCTTGACCGTATTATATGTAATTGGCTTGTTTTGGGGTGATCTTGAAGCGGATGGGTTTGTAGACTTAAATATCCGCCAGACTCTTCAGGAGAGCCCGTGTAGCACAGCCTTTCCTCGCCTTTGGTCTCTCCCTAGGAAGTAGGTTGGGTCTGTTTGCCGTGTTAGCATTTGGGGCTAGTTGTGTATGTTTATGAAGTAGGTACTTTTGTAAGAACATTATTTGTGCCTGGCTGAAATCGGGTTACTTTTTAAATCTTTTGTTTCCTCGTTTCCTCCCCGTTACTTGCTTCCTTTCTCTTTCATTCCTCATCCCAGTTTTCCTTCGAGTGTGTGTCTTTTGCAGTGTAGAGAATGCTTTGAATTGTGACCCGTGGGCCTTTGCAAGTGATACTGTATTAAGAGATTAATATACTAGCATAATTATGATAAGCTTTTTAAGAGCACCAGGTCATCATTTATTGTTCCAAAAAGAAAAAAAAAAGCATTTCTGCTGTGATAGGAAATAATCTGCTTTTGTTTTAGATAATAAGCTAGTGATGGTAGTGAAAATAGTGTTGATATGAGGGGAAACTAATAGAAGATATAGTAAAAAAAAATACAACAAAACACCAGTATTGGCTATTAACTGTGTACCGGACACTGCCAAGCTTATTACATGTCCTACAAATTCTCCCTGTGTAGTAATTTCCTCCTTTTTACAGATGAGAGAAATAGATGTCTAAATACTTAACTGCCATGTTCAGATATTTCTATACTTTAGGCTTATACTGTAAGCATGTAGTTATTGTGTGATATATCACACCCTTTAACAAGGCTTAGGTATTTTCTTGTATTATAGGTATAGTTGGGCAAGCGTAAGTAGACATTCCCCAAGGAAGAACCCTCAAGACTGAATGAGAACTCCTGAATAATTAAAAGCACTCCCGCCCCCCACACACTTAGAACATATTTATGGAGGGTAAGATAGAAGAAAATGCTTATTATGCATATGGTCTGCAACTCTGAAATGAATTTACATGTTTTGTTGAAGGGACAGGGAAGAGGAAATAAAAATCAGTGATAGTATTTTTCCCCCCTTTGGTCATTGGGCTTGAATTTAGGGCCTGGGCACTGTCCCTGAGCTCTTTCACTCAAGGCTAGGACTCTACCACTTTCAACCACAGCTCCCCTTCTGTTTTCTGATTTCCACTTCCAGTTTTCTTATGGTTAATTGGAGATAGGTTCTCAGGGAGCTTCCTGCCTGGGCTGTCTTTGAAGCGTGATCCTCAGATCTCAGCCTCCTGAGTGGCCAGGATTACAGTCATGAGCAATCAGTGCCAGGCAGAGACAGCATTTTTTCAGTCATTGTTGTTACTTATATTTAGATTTTTCCCATAAAGTATGTAGTTATAAACAATATGTTAAGCACTCATGACTTTTAATTTAAATATAAATACAGAGAAATATTATTCATTTTAAGTTCTTTTGGTCAGAGTAAAAGCAGCATTCATGTAGTAAGAGGAGTAAAACAAAGTACTGGATAATCCAAATTAACATCTAACCTGAAATTGTAATCCAGAATGTTTTTCTTTTTCCTTGCCTACAGATTCTGACTTTTAAAGAAGTTTTCAAAGCATAAGAAACAACTTGAAAAGAAAGGATATCTAATCATCTGTTTTTAAATTACAAATGAATTATTTCAGAAGAATCTATTTCTGATTAGTTTTATTGGAGAGATGTTTTCATTGTTATTCAACTTACTGTTAAGGAATTTGGCTTGAAATACAAGCTTGTCTTCTTTTATATATGCTATGCAAATTATAAGAGAATACAAAATAAAGTGGAAAAATCCAAATTAGAAATTAGGACCTGGGAAGATAACAAATTTCAGAGACATAATTAGGATGCTAATATGGTTGGACATAGAATTTTTTTAACTCAGGGTCTTAGAAACTGGTCCCAAGTTTCCTTTGGGGGTTAGGTTATAAAGTAATATTGTTACATAAAATATGAAGTAATATTGTTACATTTGCCAGGTGCTGGTGGCTCATGCCTGCAATCTTAGCTACACAGGAGGCTGAGATCTGAGGATCGTAGCTCAAAGCTAGCACAGGGAGGAAAGTCTGTGAGACTTTTATCTCCAATTAACCACCACCGAACCAGAAGTGGTGTTGTGGCTCAAGTGGTAGAGTGCTAGCCTTGAGCTGAAGAGCTGAGGGACAGCGCCAGGCCCAGAGTTCAAGCCCCATGACCAACAAAAAATTGTACATTTTTAACTGTTCTATATATGAGTAGACCTCCATCATAGGTCAACTTTCTCTTGTCATTCTTTCCCAGAAGTATGATAGCTTTAAGTTGAAGATTGTGTTTTCTTATTTATCAAAGCCCATGGCACCTTATGTTTTTTGAGTACCTTGCATTTGTGATGGAAGTAGAAAAATAAAACTAACAGTCAGTGCTGATGGCTTAATGCTTATCAGCCTAGCTACTCAGCAGGCTGAAATATGAGGATTGTGATTTAGCACCAGTTCTGTAGGCAAATCATGGAGACTCTTACCTTCCAATTAACCAGCAAAAACCAAAACTAGAGGTGTGACTAAAGATAGAGGTCCAGCCATTAACAGAAGAACTCACTGAGAGTGCAGGGCCCTAAGTTCAAGCCCTCAAAGTATTAGAACACACATACAAAATAAAAAATAAAGTAGGTGATTTCTAAAAGAGCCTTGAGTTTCTTGGTTTCTGTATCTTAATAGAAAAATCCAAAGGTTTTGAAAGATCTGTTGTTTTTTTTTTTTGGGTCTGGTCGTGGGGCCTGAATTCTGGGCCTGGGTGCTGTCCCTCAGCTCTTCAGCTCAAGGCTAGCACTACCACTTGAGCCACAGTGCCACTTCCGGCTTTTTTTTCTTTTTGCTTATGTGGTGCTGAGGAATCGAACCTAGGGCCTCAGGCATGCAAGGCAAGCACTCTATCACTGAGCCACCTTCCCAGCCCTGAAAAATCTGTTTTGCATGTGGAAAACCTTGCATCTTAAATTTTCTCTAAGCTACTTTTTTATATAGCATTATTATCTTGATATCCAGATTGTTAAACTATACTTATAACTTTCTTTCATCTACATAAAATTAACTGCCGTTATTTTAAATACATTTAAGTAAAAAGTTCTCCATACATTTTTTACAATATTCTCGTACTACTTTATATTTTATCCTAAGTTACATGAACATTAGAGGATTTAACTTTTTTTTAAAATAACTATATTTCTTAGTTATGCTCCGTGGTGTCCTGCTTGTCAAAATCTTCAACCAGAATGGGAAAGTTTTGCTGAATGGGGAGAAGATCTTGAGGTTAATGTTGGAAAAGTAGATGTCACAGAACAAACAGGTACTGTAAATCTGGTTGATTCTGCTTTCTTGCCAGTTCTCTTTGTATTTACTTTATTTTCCACAGTGCATAGACTTACATTATGTTTTGTAAACATAATAGTCTGTAGCTATTTAAGGTAATATGCAATTAGATAAGCCCACTTGACCTGTCACATTGCTGATGGACACCCAGAGTGCATTGCCTGCTAAAGGCAGATTCTTTAGTAATGTATACTGCTCTTTTCTTGTATGTGTTGCTCTAAGGGACTGTGGAAATATTACCCTACCCCCATTCTTGCCCATGTAATTTCTTTTTGTGTGTGTGTTCCTGGCTCCAGACTAACTTGTAAGATACTTTTGAGAAGTCCTAGAACACTGTGGTTCAAGTGGACTTTGACTAACGCATCATTTCTGTCTACACATTTTCAGAATAAGGCATATGTGGTTGAGTTACCTTGTAGAGTCAGCATCACATTCTATAATGAGATCTGAATCTTGACTATGAATTCCAGATTTAATACCTATGATTTGAAGATGTTTAAGGCTCTTTTTCAAAAAAAGGTTAACTTTATTGTCTAGGTGATATACAAGATGGTTACAGTTTCATCCATAAGATAGTGAGTACATTTCTTGTAGAACTTGTTACACCCTCATTTTTCTCTCACTTTTCCTCTGCCCCCCCCCTCTCGCAAGTTGCATAGTTCATTTCCAACGTATTGTCTTGTGATTATTGCTGTTGGCTTAGTTTACCCTTCGTCATTTGTCTCACCATTTTGTTGTTCACCTTCCCTAATTCAGATTATACAGTAACCAGGGCACCAAAATCAAATATAGTGACAACAGGGGATAAACCATTGGGAAAAAAACAAAAGAAAAAACAAATCACAGAGTACATTAAAAACAACAACAATAAAGAAAAACCTCTTGTTTCCATGTCTTGGAGTTCATTTCACTTAGCATCATCTTTTTTTTTTTTTTTTGGTATATATTTTTTATTGTAAAAATACACAGAGGCGTTACAGTTACATGAATAAGGTAATGAGTACATTTCCTATCGAGCATTGTTACCTCCTCCTTTGCTTTTCCCCTACCATCCCTTCCCTCCCAGCCTCCCCAACCCCCGAAGTTGTAAAGTTCCTTTTCAACATAGTGTCTTGTATATCTCATTATTAAAATGGGTCAACCTGTATCATTATTTCAGCATTTTCTTATTTCCCTTCCCCTACCTAAATTAGAAAAATGTATATACAAGAATCAGGGCACCGGAAACAAATGCAGTGAAAAGTTATACCATGGGGGAAGAACATACAAAAGTAACAAAAAAATCACATGGTACATTATAAGCACATTAAAAACAACAGCAACAAAGATAAATCTTCTTGTGTCCCTATCTTGGGGTTCATTTCACTTAACATCATCTTATATGGTCATATGTACATAGCTTTTGTCCTTTTCTGCTTGTCCTAGACATATACTAGTTATTGCAAATAAGGGAAACCATGGGACCTATGTTTCTTTGGGCCTGGCTTACTTCACTTAATATAATTTTTTCCAAGTCTTTCCATTTCCTAACAAATGGAGCAGTGTCATTCTTTCTGTTGGAGGCATAGAATTCTATTGTATGTATGTATGTGTGTGTGTGCATATATATATACACCACATTTTCTTGATCCATTCATCTACTGAGGAGCATCTGTGTTGGTTCCATATCTTAGCTATGGTAAACAATGCTGTGATAAACATAGTTGTGCTGGTAGCTTTAGTATGGCCTTGTTTGTTATTGTTTGGGTAAATGCCCAAAAGTGGGATTGCTGGTTCATAGGGGAGCTCTATATGTAGTCTTTTGAGGAACCGCCATAGTGCTTTCCAAAGTGGTTGAACAAGTTTACACTCCCACCAACAACGCAGTAGGATTCCCTTTTGGCCACATCCCCTTCAGCGTCTGTTGTTAATAGAGTTCTTGATTCTAGCCATTCTAACTGGGGTGAGGTGGAATCTCAAAGTTGTCTTGATTTGTATTCTTTTTTTTTTAGCAAGATCTTATATAGTCTTAATTATAAAAATGTTAGGATTGTTGAGTCAATTACACTCTTGACGTGGTCTCTTGCTTAAGTGGTAGATTTTGCCTTTAAGGCTATTTCTTTCTCAGACCAGTCAGTTTTGTTCTGGGTTGTAGTTAACCTTGGTTCCTCACTGCCTTGTCCCAAATGGTAATAATAACTACTATTTATTAAATACTTACCTCTTGCAACATTTGCAGTTATTTAATTTAATCCTTAACTTTGTGAGCTATCTCCATTTTGCTGAGGTTCCAAGAAATTAATCCTCTGTCATCAGTGTCACACAGTAATATAATTAATCAAGTGCTTATATGTATCTAAAGATGTCTTCAATAGTTTAGTTGCTCAAACTTAGTAATTAATATATATGTGGTGGTATGTTTTTTAAAGTTGCTTTAAGTGTATAGTTTGTATTTTCATTGTTATAAGGTCCAACTCTTTTAGCTATTTTCATGTTCTAGTAAGCATTTTAATAATTCAAAATCAACTTTTAAGTAGTCAATGATTGATCCATATAAAATCTGCTGTGTATTCATTTGTAGGACTGAGTGGACGATTTATCATAACTGCACTTCCCAGTATTTATCAGTAAGTATTTGAAGATTCAGTTATGGGAAAGGATACAGCACAATACAATTAGAATAGCAAGTCAGGCTTGAATCTTGTTGAAGAGCTCAAGTAATTTCAGTAATAGTCTTAGAAAGCTTGTTTCGCTCTCAGTGGTTGGTACCTTTTTTTTTTTTTGTCGGTCGTGGGGCCTGAACTCTGGGTCTGGGTGCCATCCCTGAGCTCTTCAGCTCAAGGTTAGCGTTCTACCACTTGAGACACGGTGCCACTTCCAGCTTTTTCTGCTTATGTGGTGCTGAGGAATCGAACCCAGGGCCTCATGCATGCAAGGCAAGCATTCTTACCACTGAGCCACCTTCCCAGCCCGGTTGGGACCTTTTCAGGGGTGAGTAATGCCCAGGTCAGAGGGTATATGAAGCCTGCATGATGGGGCAAGCATGTGTGTCTCACAAACATATATATTTTTTTGTCAGTTGCCTTCCCTGTTAGAGATATGCAGTGGTTTGGAAGTTGATACTCATGTGAAATGATGTGATCCCATTACGTATAGTTCAGTCTGTGAGCCCAGGGTGGTAGTGAGTCCTATAGTACTGAGTGAAGAGGAGAAAAAACTTTGAACTGGTGCAGTTCCTGGAGAACATGGGGTTTAAGTAAAGTCTTAGAAGTAGATAATTCAGGAGTGTAGGGTAAGCATTCCATTCTGAGAACAGGTTCATCATAAACAGTAGAAATGCAGTAGGTGCTTCCAAAAAGTGGTTAAGAAGGTGCTGTTGTACTTGGGACTAGTGGAGATTCAGTTGTGTAAGTTAGAATGAACAAGATTATATGGTAATACCGATAGCATCAACACTCATTTAATTGGTCTTAATCTTCTACACTGGAGATAGGAACTCTCAAATCTGTCTTCCTCTTCTGTACCTTAACCTAAGTAGCTGGTAGGCTTAATACCAGTAAGCCCTTCACATTTAAAGTTATAAGACCAAGTCAGCTTTTGGTTACATCTATATCTTGCTTTCCTGTGTTTATTGTTTTGCACGCACGCACTCGTGTGTGAGTGTGTGTGTGTGTGTGTGTGTGTGTGTGTGTTGAGGCTTGAGGTATTGGGTACTATCCCTGAGTTTCGTGTGTGTGTGTGTGTGTGTGTGTGTGTGTGTGTGTGTGTGTGTGTGTGTGTGTGTGTGTGTGTGTTTGTGTGTGTATGTGTGTGTGTGTGTAAGCTTGAGGTACTGTGTGTGTATGTGTGTGTTTGTGTTTGTGTTGAAGCTTGAGGTACTGTGTGTGTGTGTGTGTGTGTGTGTGTGTGTGTGTGTGTGTGTGTGTGTGTGTGTGTGTGTGTGTGTGTTTGTGTTGAGGCTTGAGGTACTGGGTACTATCCCTGAGCTTTAGCACTCTTGTCACTTGAGCCACAGCTCCACTTCCACTTTTTTTTTTTGTTTTTTGTTTTTTGTTTTGGGTGGTTAAGTAGAGATAAGAGTCATGGACTTTCTTGCCTAGGCTGGCTTCAAATTGTGCTCCTCAGATCTCAGCCTCCTGAGTAGCTAGGATTGCAGTGTGAGCCACTGGTACCTGGATTTTTGTTTGTTTGTTTGTTTTTAAGTAGTGTTTTGGATTAATAAACTCAGGATCTTGAGACTGCCACACACATACTTGCCCTACTTCCAGCCCTTTTCCACTTTTTAAATTCATCTTCTGGTTCTAAGTTTTTAAATTTCTGTCTTTTGTTTACTTAAGGTTCTTCTCCCTTTCACTCAGTCCTTTTCCCTATATATCCCTTTTGTGGTTAGATTCAGTCTTCCTATTTCATTGCTTAATGCCTCTGAACTTGTCTGTAGCTTCTTGCCCTTTCTATTTTCAAGTCTTTTTTTTTTTGTCAGTTGTGGGGCTTGAACTCTGGGCCTGGGCACTGTCTCTCAGCTCTTTAGTTCTAGGCTAGCACTCTGCCACTTGAGCCACAGCACCATTTCTGGTTTTCTGGTGGTTTATTGGAGATAAGAGTCTTACAGACTTTCCTGCCCGGGCTGGCTTTGAACTGTGATCCTCAGATCCCAGCCTCCTGAGTAGCTAGGAGTATAGGCATAAGCCATCTGCACCCAGCTCAAGTCTTTTTTTTAATCTTGCCTTTTTTCTTAAAATTCTCCCATTTGAAATCTTAGTCATCCATCAGTGAACAGCTCAACTGTCACTCCTCAATTTTTTTTTTTTTTTTTGGCCAGTCCTAGGCTTGAACTCTGGGCCTGGGCACTGTTCTTGGACTCTTTTTGCTCAAGGCTAGTGTTCTACCACTTGAGCCACAGTGCACACCACTTCTGACTTTTTCTGTGATTAATTGGAGATAAGAGTCTTATTACGGACTTTCCTGCCCAGGCTGGCTTCCAACTGTGATCCTCAGATCTTAGCCTCCACAGTAGCTAGGACAATAGGTGTGAGCCACCAGCCTGGCTAAATGTTTGGTTTTGAATAGAGGTTTCCTTGTGTTTTTCTAGATGGATACAGGATCCCCTACTCAGCTATACATAGTAGGGAGGTGTTGACTCTGTACACTTGCAGATGTAGGAGCTAACAAGCATTTGTAATTGTGACAGAACTCATACACTGAAAAAGGAAAGGAGGCAATGGATGGAGGAAAGAATGCAGAGTTGATTGACTAGATAGAC